CTGGAGAAATTGTGCCCACACTTGGCACAGCTAGACAACACCTAGTCTTACACCGAACCTCTGACAGGAGTAGAAGTCATAATGTGACGTCAGAAATTATTTCACCCAGTGGTGTGGAGGCTCCCCTCACATTATAGTCACCATGCTAGAAAACATAAATCATACTTTCTTCATCAACTCCTCCAAATAAAACATTTTATTCAGTCTTTTTCTGATTGTGCGACCGTGACCTGCGCCTTTAAGATGCTGAGGCCAGCAGATTCTTAGCATTGCGTTGTCTGACCTGTCATTGAAGCACTCACAGTCTCTCATAATGAATCGATCAGTGAGTTGGTCAGATGTCCGTGGTGGGTCTTGTCATCGTAACTTCGATCTAGACATCCACATTCTGTTTCAAGCTGTTATCTTAATGTTTGAGAACAGTTGGTGACACAGTTTGACATGTACTCCTGGTCCTCATTTCAGGTTTGTTTGACCCTACTACAAGAACTGATGTGAATCCAATGATTTGTGAGTATAACCCCACCATAAAAAATGATCTGCTTTCTTTTCAGTTTTTCAAATGTGAAGGACTCTGAGCACAGATACCTGATGAGTGGCTCTTACAAGTAAACAAACTAAGGTCAGAATGACACACTACACTGGAGGACCAACATTGATTTTTGGTGAAAGATAAGATGTTTTTTAACGTGTGAAACAAGACCGTATGGGCTTTTGGGGGGAACACCATAAGGAAGCTCAATGAACGAAGTCACATAGGAACCAGAACTGTAGAAGCATCAGTGGAGAGACAGGATGCTAAACAAATTGCTTCTTAATTAATGATGACTCACCCTACCTGAGAAATAAGGTTTCAGAAAAACATGATCAAGGCAGCTTAGAAAAAAATAATGTATTCCTTTGTTGTTTTTCTCTGGACACGTGACCAGGGACTGAAAGAAGAAGCTGTAAAGAACGATCATTCCCATGTGAGAAAGATCTCACTATCATTTCCACTCTTTCTCCACTGATTTTGCTGGCTGTAAGTTCAGATTTTTGCAGTCTGGTTCCTGGCAAGTTTCACTCAATAAAGGTCAATTTATGGTCTTGATCATATAAGTCACGACTCCTGATCCACCTGTAAATGAAACAAACTAATGTACAGGCACGAAGTAAAGTTCCGGCCCAAACATTTCACTTTGGGTGACTTGCAGGGAGTAAAAGGACTAATAAACAGTTTGTGCCAGTTTACACGTAAGCGTGAATTTGATTTTCTGCCACAACACCAGGTTGTGCATGTCATTCCACTTTTGTTTCTGTGACTTTTTGAGCAACAGTTTTAGCAATTTTAGCAACATTCACAGATCCAATGCTTTATTTTCTATGTGAATAACTCACTGACCTTCTTATTAATTGAATATATGTTATCCTTCAGTTCTGTATTCCATCCAAACTCAAGACTTTAAATAGGTCTTTTTTAGTTCAATTGAAATGTTCTAAGTGTATCAAAATAACTACAAATGTGTGGGTGCTTTTAATCCAATTCATATAATGGAATCATTAACTAATCCCAGTCCATTAGATTCCAAAAGCGTGCATTCAAACAGAGCTAATAAAGAAAATGTCAACATTAAATGTAATGCAAGAGAAGGTCTTTTTTTTTTTAGATCCTCACATATGGACATGGTTGCTTCTTACATCTTTGGCTGCCATCTTTTTCTCATCTGAGATTTACAACAGCTGTTGTTAATGAACTTATTGGGTATTGCTAAAACATTCAATGTGAACTCAGTAACTGGTTCAAAAGGAGTGAGTTATCAAGCTCGCTGAGTTCGAAGAGTTCACTGACACCTGGATGTGAGGACTAAGGTGAGGGACTCTGAGAGGAAATGTAATTCTAGATCAAATCCCTTCACATTTCACATCATGTTATTGATGGGAGGGAGTCAGGGGCAGTGAGGTGTTACTTTCATGGGCTCCCGAGAAACAAAACAAAAAACAACACACCCTATAATCAGTCATTCAATATAACTTTGACATCTCACAGAATTATGTGTATTTCCTTGACAAGTCTTGAAATAAAAGAATGATAGCTCAGTATTACTGACTTTTTTCTCTTCTTTATCACTTTACAACTTTGTTCGTCCAAGAGAAAACATGACATTCAGATCTCTGACAGAGAGATAAGAAGCATATTTCTATTAAGCCAACAGCATGAAAATGACAGAATCTGTACAACGGGAAGCTAATTTTGTGGAAACAGTAGCACAATGAGCACATACTAATTTCCTTATCTGCACATCTGAGGTCTATTCTTTCATCACACAAAGATAATATGTCAGCAAGGAGATTCAAAAATACATGTTTCTAACGAAGTAAGAGGGTGTTTCTTTTCCTTCTGTTATGCTTTTGGATTCTGGTACTATTAATGGCAGTACAGCTAGGTTTGTCTTTACTTCTGTTTGTGCTAAGCCAAAAACATACAAAAGCTGGTTGGTATCCTCGGTGTACTACTGTGGCACAGAGTATGCATACTTTGATATGATTATACTTAACTATCTAAAGCCTGGGTCATGCTTAGATCTATACCAATCCCAGATGGTATATGGTACATAAGAATGGAAGGTCCCTATTTTTTCCATCTGTGGTTAGTTGTAGAAATGAATCTGTAGGGGTTCTTACTGTAAGATGAATGCAGTGGATTAAAAAGACTAACATTCCCATCTGACATATAAGGTACGTTGAAGTATGATTATGAAAATGCTTAATGTTTCCCATACGAATGTATTAATCTCATTCATGCAAAAGATGTGATTTCACCCATCTGCTTTGCTCTAATTATGTTCAGTGGGGCAAAATCTGTACAGCTAGAGAATTAGGCTTTTAATTTATCCTAACACTAGTATAAGACATGAGGTGAAGCTCTCCCCACCTGAGCTTCCATTCATTATGCCGTCGGATCAGTTTAATTTTTCCTCTAAAATACTCTCTGGGAACACAGCCTTAACTGAGTTTTGTTTCTACTTTAGATCAGCTCTGGAATGGGAGACAATTTTGTTTGGCATCCAATGATAATGCAAAGTAATTCTCCTTTTTTTGTTTAAATTACTACCTTATTACCATTGCCACTGTTGAAAATAGTGTTGTTCATAACAACAACAAAAATGAAAATAACCATAAAAAAGAGATGATAAAGGGAAAAGAAAAAAGCTGAATGTAGTTAAATATGTGTATCATAAATATAGGACATATTAGACTGATGAATGCCCACCCCTGAAAAACAGAGGGATCTTCTGGGCCAGTGAACATCACAGCTTTTAAGTTTTGAATTCTGATGTACTTAATCCTAATGATGTGCTCCTTTTCTATCCTGTATACTCGGTTGAGAGAACACTTGATACCAATAACTCGATGTAAAATCTAGAAACCTCATTATAATCATTATGCAAATAACCGTGACTAGCCTGTGCATTTCAAACATTTAATCTACAGCTGTATCATGAATAATAATAAAGTTCTTGGTATCGCTCATTTTAATTGTCCTACTTATGCTAATGTTTATACTTCCTGACATGTATGAAATCATTTTTAATAGATGTTTCGTGAACATTGATAGCACTATTGTGATGGAAATGTAATGTTACATTAAATACGATGTGATTCAGAGGAACAGTCTCTCCGCTTCTTCAATTTAAATTTTAATAATCTAAACTGAACAACTGAAACAGTGAAAATTGAATTATTTCTAATGCATTATAATGAACAAATGAATTCAAGAATGGACCATGATAACAGGGGTCACTCAGGCAACAAACTGACAAGGCCGGATGAATATAACCAAAAGGGCGGCAGTAAAGTTTAATTTAAAAAGTGACACTCTGGAGTTGACTATAACTGCAAGTCAGCCTGCTCAAAATTGCCTTTTTTTGCTCTTCATTATTTCTGCAAAGATGTCATAGTCAGTTACTGTATCTTGTTTTCATTCCCCCCCAAAGATGGAATGCAAATGTAAAAGCTTATCCTCAGGCTGTTTTTCTCTATGTGTGCCTGCAGGTGCCCCTGATGGTTCTTTGCACGGAATTCCCATGGAGGTTGTAAGATATTCTCTGGATGTCTTTCTATATCTGTTTTTGTTCTGTTTCCTTTTCTTCTCTTTCTTTCCCTGTCAGGTATGGCATTATTTATTACACGAAAACCACTATAACAAAAATTCAGAAAGAGACAATTCTGGAAAAAATCAAGAGGGTTTTTTTTTCCCGTAAAGCTTTCCTTGGGAAAATGGGTTTGGCGTGCACTATGATTACATCATGTAAATGTAATAATATTTATGATATAAATAATCTAAATCTGATAAACAAAAATGTGCTTTTCTGTTTAAGTCTTAGAAATCAAAACTAAGACAATAAAGACAATAAAAAAGCAAGACTTTCAGTTGTCTTTGATTTAGTCTGTTGCCATAGAAACTCTAAAAGAGCTGACTTATCCTCTGAAACCTTTAGGGATTGAAGACAATAACGAAACAATCTTCACAGAAGTCATTATTCTATCAATCAGTATGTTTAGATCTGAACACTGAGCACGGAAAGAAAATGCTGGAGTGGTGAGACGACATCAATTTATAGCAAGTTTAATTCTCCGAAGCTAAATCACTTAACTGATTTCTAACTTCAATATTATTATCAGAAAAAAAGATAATATTAGCACAGTTTAATTTTTATTTTGCATTTTTCTCCTAAAATCAGGTTCATGTGGATAGTCACATTGACTTTCAGTTAAGACTACAGTAAAAAAAAAACAACGTGAAAAATATCGTTTGTTCTCAAAGAATTATCTAGACAGTTCATTTATGTAGAACTTGTTAAATAAACCCATGCTGCTTATTACTTACGTGTTTGGCTGCCTTCACATCTACAAGGAGTATTTCATACCATGTGGGCAATTCAAAGTGAACGTGCTCGTGCGTGACTTCTGTATAAAGTGAGATAAACACAAAGACTTGGATGGCGCTCAGTATGCCACACATAAGACGGCGGGGTGATGGCAGAGACGAGCATGTTGGCTTCTTTCATGGGGGAAGGAAGAGATGCTTTCTGCTGCTGACCTCCACCAGGGAGCCCGGTCTCCCATGTGCAGCGCTGCATGTTGAGCAGGGCAGCACTGCAGTCAGTCACGGGCTCAGCGGAGCACAAACTGGAGGAGCTTTTCTCATCTACTCTCACCAGCAAAGAAGATGATGTTGAAGTAAATATTGACTCGCAGAGACTCTCTATTGACAGAGTAAAAGGGAGCTGAAGGCGGTAATTACATTTTCGCCAAATGAGGTGGAGATGATTGTATTCAGACGAGGCAATGCTTCATCAGTGGAAAGTGTTTGTTTCGATAGATTTTGACTCGAGGTCCACTTTAAAAGGTTTACATTTTTAATATTATTCTCTCGTCCTTTTTATTATAGCTACATATAGATGTCAGACCTGAGTAGGAGGCTTGTGACATTTTCTGTCTTGTAATGAATTCTGAATAAAGTTGATTTAGTTAAATTTTTGTTGTAATTCTGCTATTTTTTCTCACAACACTGAAACCAACAGTCTGATATGGAGGAGAACAGCTGGTGGCGTTTAAATAGTTATTTTGTCTTCCTTTGAACAAGTGCTAAACTCTCTAAGCCTTTGTTTGTGGAACAGGTCAACCTCGCAGACAGTTCTACTTTAATACCTTTAATACATTTTCACCGAGTGGTGGACCACTCCAGGTTCCTTTTTTGCCCAGAAAGAAGGAGACAACACGGTGAAGTGGTATGACGTACTAGAAGGTTGAGTCCATGCACATCTGCATCCATCTACTTTATTACTGACTAATCAGAAACAACCCAGTAACACATCCGGTGCACTAAAGAAGAACATTTCCCATTATTCAGTGGAGCAAAATCAGAAAGCTTGTTGCAGAGAAGTACGCTGGTAAAGCACAACACAATACACAGACACTGTAGCCCTGCAGGTAACTTCATTTGTCTGATATCAACAGGTTGTTATTTCGATTACAGTATTTTTTTCCTCTCTATAAAGAGAAAGTTACATTCTCGATGCCATTTTTATTCAGCTGAACATTTCTTTTTAACTACACTTGTAAGGATGTAAAGAACCAGAATTGTGATATCCATTTAAAAATTGACAAATCTTGTTTAATGACAACATCCAGTTGGAAAACTTCATGTCAAACAAACTCCACAGTTGCCTTTTGAGAGCTGCTTTTGTTTGACTTCTGCAAACCCTGTTTGAGTACGCATTTTGATGCAGTTGCATGCGTCGCAAAAATTCTAGCTGGATATTTCTCATGCTAAAGAAGGCTGGTGGCTTCTACCACTGGTGCAATTAACCATAATGTGTTCTCTGCTGTGAGTCAGAGCTGCACTCACTTGTTCACTTTCCATTCAAAAATTCTCAGAAAATATGAGCGTCACTCATCAAGCAGTCTCTCCAACACTGCTGTGAGCTTATTTTCATTAGGCACATTATCATGAACCGCTGTTTTGTTCTGTGGATTTTGGTCATGTTATCTGGGTTTTGCTCTTGTGTATTCAGGCTCACTTTGGAGTTTATCTGTTGCTTCCAGTGCCTGAAATTCAGTCATGATTGCTGTTGTTTTTCTCCTAGTGTCTAAACCCCTCCTTGGGTAAATTGTTTATTGTATCTCTTATATAGTTTCTCAAATGTAACTTTGGTGCATTGCCGTGGAACTTTTAGAATAAACCAAAGTTTGTCTGAACCACCTTGGTTCCCCTGTTTTTTCCTACATTGCATTTGGATCCTCTCATCCAAGTCATGATCACAACAACCTTGATCCTATATAATTTTAGGAGCCCACTATTTGCAACATTTAATTACATCATTATTTTTTCTTCAACTAAATATACACATGTAAAACAGAACGCTTTTAATCCCTTTTTAAAAAAAAGAAAACATAATTTATGTGACATGTAGATAGCGCCATTTGAAATGTATGTAGTGGCAGAGATGTAGAGAGGCAGATGGTGAACACACAAAAGCTCAATAGAAAAAAAACAAATTAGATTGGTTTACACTTTAATCGAGATTATTGAACAGGTCCATATGTCAGTGGGTAACTTTTTTTTGTTTTGAAAAAACAAAACTCTTATTTTAACTTAATGCAGGTGTGAAGGTTCATTTTGTTCTGAACAAATCTGTGCTTTATCCAGGATTTGAATGTAAATGGGTTACTTTCATGGTGTGCTTTTATTCAAAGTGCTCCACTCGCTCTGCCTCTCATTCACAGCAACAAAGATGACAGAGGACTGCCCGTTCCCTGACAATCAGCTAATGCTTTGTTTTGCCTCAGGACACTTTGACACATATATCAGAAAGGCTGGAGATCGAACTCATTACTGGACCCGCTTGATCCATCAGCGAAAGCCAGGAGGTCTCTGAGGACTCCAGCTGTGATAAAGGTTCAAGTCACTCCCTCTGCCAGCAACTCAGCTTGAACAAAAGTTTGAGCTGTTTAGGTTTCAGAAAACCTGCGGGAATAAAAATAATCGATTAAATCACAAACTGTCTGATTCAGACTTATACCTGATTTGTATCAATGAAGTCTGATAGCACACCCAAGTTGGGCACATTAGCATTCGCTGTCAGCTTTCAGTGTGAGTAGCAGTTCATGCCCATGAATCTCATGTGGCTGGTACAGACTCTTTACACCATCTGATAAATACAATTTTCCACTAATGATCAGCAGTTTGATTTGTCAGTCTGTGCTCTGAGGTGGTAAAATGATCCACTGTCAATTCTGTCTCTGACTTCATTAAGGTTTTTAATATGTGGCTTCATCAACTTTAATTTGTCCCCGTCTGCATGGCAGAGGGCGTGAGGCATTTTGAATTTCAGACTGCAAAAGCTTTGATCAGGAGGCTTCTCCCAGCATGAGTCTGTGAAGACCTTAAACAAAACTGTGCTTCTGCAAACATTTAACTGAAGAGGAGCACGTTAACATTAACATTTAATCCAATGACAAATGTTTTCCTCAATTTCCCACTGGTATCATGTCAGCGAGTAAGATCTGTCTGCCTGACATTTGTAAGGCACAAAAGTTTAATGAATCAGAGTGAGGAAGATAAGGGTTGAACAAACAAACCTAAAAACCATACATGTCTTTTTTTTAATCTACACATGACAATCTTAGTTGTAAAAATGTAGTTTAATTTTGGGCCATTCAGAATGCTGAATCCATATTGGCGTAAAAATCCATGGATTAAATGGCTCCTTTAATATCTTTTTGAGAAACTGATGACACAGAAATAACGCTCTTTAGAGCAAGTACATCCAAGACAATGCTGGTAACAGGAAACCTGTTAAATTTTAAAATCAATAAGAGTACAATTAAAGGTTTTAGGAGAAAGTCTCGTCTCTCTAAAAAAATAACATGTCTTACTTCTGTCACAAAATCCCCTATAAAATCAGAATGCAAGTTGGATTTGGTTTACAAAGCATAAATGTTCATGTTCATGTTTATCAGCTGTCTGCAAAACTACAGTCCATTGCTGTGTGAGAGAAAAGGTCCATACTGGATGGATTGTCAGTTGCATCACAGACTCATACAGGGACAAACTAGACAAAAAGCTACCTCCTTTCTCTATCATTGTTAGGGTCCATTGAAAGTCCCCAAAAAACCTCTCAAACAGCAGAGCAAAAATAAGGGTTTAGGAAAAATAAAAGGACTTTTTCAGGTTGGACCTAGTGTTGAATATCTTCAGTTTTGTTTCATTTTATTAACATTCCCCCTTTCAACTTAAAGGGTTGCCTGTCTTTGAAGACCTGTATGTCTGCAGTTGAATATGAAATGAAATGTAAAGCAGTACAGTTTCTGAAACCAAATAAACAGCTCTCTGTTGTAAATTTCTGGTACATTTAAAAATCCATCCCAGACTGTACAAGGTCACAAATATATTCTGGGATATAATACAGTGTGACTGTCTTAGTGAGCAACAATGAAACAAGCTGCTGCTCTTTCAAGGGGCTCTTGAGACTTTTTGTTGCTGGTTGTGCATTTTGAATTGTTAAAAATAATCCTCCTCTTTGTAAACAACCAAAAGAAAGTTTGAAATAAATGGCCCAAGAGTGATTTTTCTGGGAAAAGGTGGACTTACACATTTTCTGACAATATTTCAGGGACACGATGTAATGCCACAAACACTTTAATGCATCATGCAATGAATGTGTTTGTACCAAATAAATCTCCGCATTTCACTATTTTCAAAGATTAGTTGAGTCCTTTCAAATTACCGATGAATATGTGATCCATTGCAAACAAGAAAAACATTTCTTCCATCCAACAGAAGACCTATTCCAATTATAGTGTAATAACTATATTACCTCAGAACAGAGAGGCTCAGAAACAATGCCTGTGTTTATATACATTTCAAATAGCTAGCTGGGTTTTAAACTAAATGTAAATCTAAACAACAAAATGGGTTTTCTGTACATACTCTTAAAGATAGACCATAAGCAGCGACTTGGTTAGTTATCACTGTGAGTGCTGGAGACAGAAAAAAGTTTACATAAAGTTGACAAAAGTGAAAAGGCACCACAAAGAATTAATTGTTGCAAGGAAGCACTCAGAGGGCTAAAGTTATTAAGTTGGGAGACTAACTGACATCTGGTAAAAACCAAAGATTATGGGTGGGAAAAATATTGGACTGGGCCACATTTGCAGGTGGAAAGACCTGCAAATTAACTTATTTTCCCCGAGTCTGTGCTGGGTTTCATCGATATAAAGAGAAACAAGCTTAAAATTTTAAGGTAGAATATAAATGGAGTAGATATTTTAGGGTGATATTTTTTTAATTATTTAATGATACATTAATTTGACCACAATGTCTTTCTTTCTTCTTTCTGAAATGATGTACACATTTGCAATCTGAAATGGTGAAGTGCAGATAAAAAAGAAGACAGACAGGGTTGGACATGATGTCAAATCACCACATGAATTACAATGTATTTCAATATATTTTCAAAGTCCTTCTGGTGGTTCATTTAGTCTTCGAATATCAGATATGGCTCCCTGTGATGATCTCATTAAATATTAATTCCACTAATACTTCCTCACAAGTATTTTCTTATCCCTTTGTGACACATTTCTGTCAGAGGTTTGCCTTTTGAGAATCTTAGAGGCTGTAGTGCTCATTTTAAATATCTAAATTGGTGCACTAATTGAACTCAACAGAGAGGACCTGACTTGGAAATGAATTTCTGTGTTATTTGCCGTGACTCAGAATGGCAAGAGCTGAGTCAACACAACCTTAATTAATGTGAGCAACACTGAGCACAAATCCCTAGAAACTCTGCGTGATAAAACAGACGGACTAAATGAGGGTCTGAGGTAATGGAGCATCAGCGGTGGATCATTTATAAGGGATGCAGTGCATTTCCCAGACACAAATCAGACGTAAACAATGATCTATTACCACGAAGATCAATTGTACTGTTGATTTCAGTTTGTGCTAACCCATCAGCTGTGTGGAGACTGGGCCTTAAACATGAGGCAATGAGGACAAGCTCCCCTGGAGGTAGGAAAATTCCCCTCTGTATTTAGATTCTGTAGGAAGCCTGTGTTTGGCTAAAAGTTGTTTTTTTCTGTAAACATTATTCAGTGGAGCGAAAAAATGAACATTTGGTCATGATGTTGCACACACTTTTCACTGAAGCTCTGAAAACTGGAACAATAATGAAAGTGCCCTCAGGCTTTTTATTACTTTTTCATAAAAAATAATGTTTGTTTGGGCAGCTGGGTTAAAAAAGAGCTGAACCTTTAGTTCAGACCTTTCCATTCCTAAAGTGTCCAAGGATCAGACTTTAATGAGTTGTGAGGAGATATAAGGAGCTAGTGCTGTGTAAAGGCTACCACTGTTGACAGAGCTATTGATAATGTTTCAGCATCATACATTCAAAACAGAATTTAAAGATCTGCTCCTAACATATGAAGCTCTAAATAAATATGAATATGGTTTGCTGTGCTAACAAGGACTTAAAAAAGAGTCTTTTACCATAATTCCCTCGATTCCTGATCTGAGGGGGCCAGCTTTCAGGTTATGAGAATATTCTTTTTACAGTTTTGATTGTTATTGGTGCCATATATGGAAACATTTATCAGAGAGAAATTGGAGCTGTATGAAATACTTTGGATCCTTTTTTGGCTTAACTGCAGTGCATCATTGTTTTTATATGCTTTGTTTTATTTTAACAAAAGATGGAAACCAGACGATCTAATGTTAGAATGGCCTCAGGCTGATATTAAGGTAAACAAAGTGAAACTCACTCTGCTTGGACCTGGAAGACATGATTTTGTATTTCACACCCCACTTCCTTCTGCTATCCTGTTAAGCGTCTGTGTTTTCAAGCAGCATTTGCAATTAATCAGGTTAAAATGTAAGTTTTTGAGACTATTATAAAAGCTTTATAGACTTGTAAAGTCTTTCTAAACTTCTGGCCGTTGGTAGCTCTAAAACTATGGTAGTCGAGTCGTGTCCATGATATTTCTCTTACTTAACAGCCTAAAGAAATTGTCAGTACATTTCTTTTTTCACTCTGATGATTCTTAGCCTTGACTGAATGTGTGATTTTGTTCAAGCTCGGAAGAAACAAAGAACATTTTTTTTCACAAATTCATGAAAAATTTGTTTACTTTGGTTTAATTTATTCAAAACAATCAAAAGTGCTCAAATAATGTTGGAAGGATAAATGTGTTTGTTTCTCATCCAGAGGGGAAAAAAAACTGCAAAACAGTGGTTTTCATAAAAACTTTATAAAGGTTTTTTTTTTTTTAATAGTTATGCAGACATGAATAGTAAACTTTAAAATGCTAACTGAGTCCTATAGAGTCTGAGTAGAGCTCTTGGGTTTAATGCAGGTTCCATGTGGATTACAGGTCTGATGTAGTGATTTTGTTTGGTTGTGGGGTTAAATGTTGGGTTGGAATGAGCAGGATTCAGCTAGCTCCTGCTACCACACCTGGGTTCTTTCACCGTTCACTGGGACTTCCTAAGAAGGATCAGCAGGAGCTACTAGCTTCACTAGATTGTCTTTCTTCTGTGGTAATCTGATTGATTCCAGCATTTTCAAGTGCATTTCTGGCTTGTACGGGTTTAACCGGGCTCTCCGCATGTTCCCTGACTGCTCTTTACTGTGGAGATGCTTATCTGAAAAAAAAAAACATTAAAAAAGGTCAGCTTTGGCTCTTTGTGTTGCATTTGAGTCCTTTTTTGAGTGTTGGCGTGGTTGAGCTGGGACATTCACTTTCAAATATTTCCCCTTGATCTTTATTTCTGTTTATTGACAAAGTCCAATCAGTTTGGAAATGTTGCTTATGACAATTGCCAGATTTTTGGGCAGCCATAATCACTTCTCATTGCTGATGCATTTCCTCTAACGCACACCTGAATGTTTCCGAGCAGCAAACCGATGACACTTCTGCTCCTTGATCAACCAAATGTATCCATCAGCTGCACCTGGAAGCTTCTGATTTTCCTAATCTGTGTAGAAGTGTTTGACTTGTTTCAGCTAAATAGAAGAGATACTGTGGAAGTACATCACATGTTTATGTTTATTGGAGGTTGCATCTATTTAATCTAATCAAAAAGAACCAGATAGATTTTTTCATGATCTGTAAGATTATTAAATTAATAGATGATGAAATCCAACTGAGACTGAAGCTGTTTTCACATCTCTATATAAGCTATTTTTTCTATGTCAAGGTAGAGTTCAACAAAGCTGTGTTCCCCAGAAAGGCAGAAAAATAGAGATGTGTGGCAGATATTTTATTTTGATTTATTCAAGTCACAGCAGCAGTGTTCAAAGGATGTTCCAATAAAGCAAATACCTTCAAAGAGGCACACATAAATCCATTTCCAGTCAAGGTCGCCATCAGTCCCCAAGAAACCCACTTTCATAACTTTTCATGTGCATTTTGTAAGCTCAAAATTTCGCTTCAAGTTTGCAAAAGCATCAATACATAAGGCAACATTAAAAATATAATTGACACACGTTTACATCTATATTTAAGATACTGGGTCACAAAGAACACAATTGATCTTTACATCACAGTGCAGCATATTTAAGGCAACGAGAAACAAGTTACACAACACACAGAATAAATACATTCAACATAGTCATCTTGGTAACATAAACACAAGTAAAAACTAAATTGTATTTTATGATGTGCACACTTAAAATGAGTAAGGCCAAAATGTGCAAATTTACACAAAGATACCCTCACACAATGAGAGTTTTAACTGAGAATAAGCAGATGATATGTGCCAGAGAGGATCATTTGGCCTCTGTGGGTCTTTTTTGGCAATTAATTATCATTTAGTGAATACAAATGACTTTTCCCTCTCTCTTTGCTGTTGTGCTTTGAAGAGAGGAGATAAGTGAAACAGTTTAAGGGAACACCATGTAGAAAGTTAAATACATCAGGTTACAAAAGCAATAAAAGTGAATGCATGTAGAAATAAAGGAATATGATGAATATAAAAAGAGATACATGTTTTGATTGATTTTGCCATAAATTCATCTTTTGCTGTCTCATCATATTTCGATATTTATGTTCTTCGAACAAATCTATTCTTTTTGTGTCACTCCTGTTATTCCTTTCTATTTAGGCTTAAGAGACTGTTTATTTCAAGTCGAAATGAATAATGCCATTTTAAAAATGTGCCTGAGAATTACACTGATTGTGGCATTTACATGGCTGGAATAGTGTTCTGTGTAACCAGTGTAGCATTTTCTTAGCCTTTGAATAATGTTACAACCACGTCATCTATCATTTATGATGACAGCCTGTAAAGTTTGTGCTTGAGAATCATGGAAAAAAGGATGGACTTAAAAATTCACAAAGACAAAATTTTTAAAATTTGTTGCTTGTGCTCTTATATTTTTTTTTCATTTTTACTGTAATCTAAACTGATCAGCACGAATTTCCTTTTATAAAAGTAAACAGTATCATATTCATCATCTTGTTTTGATCTCGACCCAAATAATATACCACTTCCTCACCAAAGTAAAACTGTCAAGTTAGGTGTTAAGGCTTTATCTTACAAAAGTAAACATTGCTGGGAATACTCTAAGATAGTTCAAACAAGACAGGAGATTTATATATCTGTATATTTCTATAATTTTGATTTGAAGAGGATAACACTGTCAAACATAGAGGTAGTGTGTCATACCCTAATCTCACCATTTGTTGAGCAGTATGCTGCAGTATTTATGTTCTGACATTGCAACGCATTAATCCTGATCGATAAAAAAGTAATTCAAGTAGTGAGAAATGGTATAAGCACAACAAGCATTTGTTTCATTTTGCATGCATGCTGGTCACATTTGCTCCGAATTGCACTTTAGAACTGTTACTACAGCATGAAATATTATTTGTTTACAGGGCACAGCTTTTATGTTAGATGAAAGATGAAAACCTTCCAAGAAACTCGCCTTATTTTACCACATTATCGACCATTTATAGCAGTTCAGAGTCATAACAGCTCAGATCCTCAAAGCATGTTCTTTTAGGTCGAATGATTTCAGGCTGTTTTCAGGTTCGGAGCTCTGCAAACACTTGATGCACAGCTCACAAACACCACAGAGAGTTTGAGCAGCAGAAAATCTCTTTGAAGGTTTTTCTCATCTCTTGGCTGCGAAAGGCGTAGATGATGGGGTCGATGACGGAGTTGCACATGATGAGGATGAGGTACATGTTGAAATGGGACATGAAGCAGGTGCAGTAAGGGTTCCTGGGGCAGGTGATCATGAGGATGAGGTGAAGAAAAAAGGGTGCCCAGCACACCACAAACACCCCGAGGAGGATGGTGAGGGTGATGGCGCCCTTCATGTTGGCGCGCTGCTGGATGGGTGCGTTGCCCGGCAGGGCGGCAATTCTCTTCATATGTAAGCGGGCCAGCAGGAACATGTGGACATAGAGCGAAGCCATGAGCACCAGCATGGTGAAGAACATGGTGATGAGGCATATGAGTACGGTGGTGCTTTCGGAGTAGATGATAAAAAGGATGCCGGACACGATGCAGGACGTCCAGATGCCGCCGATGACCAACATCGCTCTCCGCAGGGTGACTATGTTGTGATATCGCAATGCGTAGAAGATGGTGATGTAGCGGTCGACTGCGATTGCCAGCAAGCTGCAAATGGAAGCCAAGAGAGAGCTGCAAATCATAGAGTCAAACACATTGTCCATGCTTTTTATCAACGTGACAGGGATGGTCAAGCTGCCCCCATTGATGAGTGCTATCACAATAGTTTCTGAGGCGTTGGAGACACTCACAAGCATATCAGCAATGGCAAGGCTGCAGATGAAAAAGTACATCGGAGAATGGAGGTTCTTGTTTTTGATAATCGCAGCGACGACCAGAATGTTCTCAAGCAGGCTGATAATGCCCAGGGTGAGGAAAACCTCTGTGGAAATGAGTAGCTGCTCGTAGCATCCTGCCGTGGAGTCCTTCTGCTCCTCCGAAAAGTCTTTGCCGAGAGGCAAAGTCCCTGACGCGAGGCTCTTGTTGTGGATTAATCCATTTTGGAATGTAGAGTTCATACTGGCTCCTCTAAATGTTGTTCCCCTTCAGTTCGGTGTTGCTTCTCTTTCTTAATTTGGGTCCATGTAGTTCGCCGGTCTTAAAATGTCCTTGTTATCTTCTGAACAACATCAGCAGCCTAGAAGAAGAATGAACAAATGCCTCGTTTCTTTTTCAATCTTCAGGCGTCCCAGACAATCCCCCCTCCTCTGGTGCACAGCGAGGTGAAAATAAATGTTTTGTAAACAATGTGAGAAAGGATAAGTTAGAGGAACGAGACAGAAAACACGAGTCAGGCTCCCGAAGAGTGAGTGGGACTGTGAGATGCAGAGCACAGCGGCTCAGCGTTTGACTGCGGGCGTATCATCACTTTGCACTCTGGTCTTCCACGGCTCTCACTCTCTTTCTCTCTCGCTGCTAATATACCAGACACACATACAAACACACACACCTACTCTTCCGTCCTATCTGCTCCCAGATAAAGCTGGAGGAGGAGCGGAGATTGGGCTGTGGCATGAATGAGGATTCATAATGAATCAAACATGTTGCTGCACCATCATCATTTGCATCTCTAGGGAAATTAAAAAGGGAAAAGAACAAACTTGCTTTTTTTTTAGATAAAAGAGGGACATTTTCAACAAAAGTGTATGAGGTGATCACATTCAGGTGAATCATTTTTAATTAAAAGGAAGCACATTTTGTACCCTATATTTGCTCATCCTTTTGAATCCACCCCTCACTGAAGAGGACAGCTTTGCTTGTTCTGCTGCATGCTGCACTGAGGAGCCTGTATCTTCCGTCCATCAGCGGAGGACACAAGAGCCAAGTGTTTGAGGGTCAAATTCCAGCCCGAGTTGGCAAAAGACTGTGCATGTGCATGTTTCATAAGACCGTTTTCACAAATGTGTCCAGTTTAAGGTGGTATGAAGAGGCTGAGAAGCTTGAACTTCAGACAGAAGAAAAGTAAGCAAATAAGAAATAACTAATGAGAGTTTATTTAGAAATGTGTTTTCTATTGACTAGTGTCTAACTTTGGTGTGAAAGATGACATTGTCATATGTTGTTACTATTTAAACATTTAAATTCTTATCTCGTAGCTGGTAGACTCCAGAGCAGACAGCAATGTTATACATCATGTTATGTTTAATGCTGATAAGAATTTGTCTTTATTTTTAGTGAACAATAAAGTCAATCTTCTTCAGTTTTCAAAACTTGGTTTGTTTTTTAGGTTATGTAAGTATAAAAAATATTATTTCATTGTGTATTTTAACGAGAAGCAGAGGAAAATGCAGCTCTTCTGCAGCTCTCTCATACAAATATTTGACTTGATTGAAATACAAACTCTGAGTCACTGTCAAAAACGCAAATCTTAATCTGAGGCATTCAAGGAGAGAGTACAAAAGTCATAGCATTTCTCAATTACTGAAGCTTTTCAGAAAACCCTTTTTTAATTTGTGAATAAACTGTTGATTCATTTCTCATCAGAGAAGAATTTCAACGGCATCTTAAGTCAGGAAAGGTTCAGTAATGCTGGAATAAAATATATATAAACTCCTTACAAAAGATGTTGACCGACACATTGAAGATTCAATTAATTTCCCCCAAAATAAAGTTCATACTTTGGTTATATTTTCATCCTACATTTAATTCAATCCTGTGTGTCAGAAATAACAATCTAAGCATTGTATAGACCAGGTTAACACAAACCTAGCCTCAGAAAAACACTTGCTTCCGACTCTGCGTGGTGAATACATCTTGCTGTTTCTCTGCTTATTACTGTATTCGTGCTATCTCCACTCCAACGCTTTTTAGACCTGTAAAAAGTCTGCTTGTTGACTGTCTTCATCCTCTCTGATTGAATCATGACATGAGTTGACAACATGTCTGTTTCTGCAGCTTAAATGGAGTTTCTATGAATCATCAGATGTTTTTAAGGCAATCTGATATGCTCCATTGTGGCCGAGATTATATTAAGATCATTTTACCCAGCAACATGTTCTGGACTAAACTGTTGCTGAAAAAGGTTCTAAAATAACAATGAAACATGTCATTGTGGCCATTTAGGCAGGTAAAATGGTGAAGTTAAACGTGTAGATTGGAAATTAATCTTTCTGTTGTTTGACTTTAAGCATAGAAAATGTTCTTATACATAATACAAATGTAAACCATTCCCTATGCAAGAACTCCTCTGCATCAAATCCTCCACAAATAGTCAAAAGCTAGATTGAGCGTAGATGCATTTTTCAAATAAACATTTACATCTAAATATTCCAACAATTAAGTTCAAAGTACAAGCAAAGACAAAAAAACAACAACAAAAACTATGAGAACACAACTATCGTTGCCAAACTAAATGGGACGTTTGCTCATATGAGCTTAATATACCGTTACAATGATACTGCTAGTAAAAGTATGGTGATGGTGGTTAGCACCATTGCCTCACAGCAAGAGGGTTCTGGGGGAACCAGGACCTTTCTGTGTGGAGTTTGCATGTTCTCCCTGTGTCTGCGTGGGTGTTCTCAAGGTTCTCCGGCTTTCACCTACCGTCCAAAAATGTGCATGTTAGGTTGATTGGACATTTCAAATTTCCCTTAGGAGTGATTGCCAGTGTTTGTCTTTGTGTGTCTCTGTGTGGGCCGGTGATGGACTGGCGGACCGTCCAGGGTGTACCCTGCCTCTCGCCCATTGACCACTGGGATAGGCTCCATTCCCCCTGCGACCCCATTTGGGAATAAGCTGAGCAAGTGGTGAGTGTTCAGCACCATGGACAGAGGCACAAAGTGGGAACTTTCTTGTACTCAGCGGACCAATCAAAATTTTAAAGACAGAACTGTAAATATATAATGATTTATTTTGTGGATTGATCTTAAATTAATCTCACGTGAATTGGCTTGTTTTAACAACTTTTTTCACGTGTTTGTGAGAGCAGATTTTTGCAGCCTGTTTGCTTCTTCTTGTTTTCCAAAGTGTTGAAATAATGTATGATAATGTACCCAAACTGTTCTAGCCTCTGTTTCTTCACTTAGTGCCAGCTGAAAATATTGTGTGGCTTTTTGTTTGATTTTCATCTAACATTTCTCTTTACTGCTTCTAGCCAAATCCAGATGTTACATCCTGTTCCACATTCCCATTCATTGACAAAGTTGGACATGTTTCAGGAATAGAAATAACCACGTATATCGGCCATATGTTTATCCTCTCCATCCGAGCAGAAGATAACTAACATTTTAGAAAGGGTATATTTAAAGTTAAAGTTAAAGTTGTGGAATGCTTACCTTCTTCATATTCGTTCGTCCCCAAGGCATTTTTTATTATATAGAGAAATAGAGCATTTTAAAACCTGCACACCCAAAGACAACCTTGCCTTTCTAACTTTTACACAATAAAATGAAAAACAAAGCTAATAAATCTCAGGGATGATTTTAAAACTTTATTCTAGTTTAATATTTTTTGTTTCCTCTATTTTCTACAGGTTGCTCTAAATTGTTCTCTGCATATGCTGCTTCCTAAGTGAATTACCGTAGTCTGTTTTTCTATTGGTTACATCCTGCAAAATTCAGCTTTTAGTCACTGCCAGGAAATCAGCCTTCATGATAGGAGCCATGAAAAACACTGTGAACGCACAAAGTAGAAGTGTGGTCAGTGTGACCTTAAGGGAGCACAATAACACAAAGTCATGAACGGACACAGTGGAAGAGAAAATAATCACAGGTATGACAAGCTTTTAAACATAAACATGTGAAAACTGCTGCATATGCATGATAAGGTCACTGTACCTTCAGGTCTGTGTTCAGCCAGCTTCCTCTCAGAAGAAAACATAGAAATCCTGAAGGGAAACTGCTCTGCATAACAATTGTTAATGTAATTTATCATTATACCAATTATTGAGAATCAATCACCACATCTAAGGTTTAATGTTTAAAAAGACCCTACTGCTCCACTGTGTGACAGAAGATACACAACATAACTATGCACCTTAAGTATAGAGTATTATTAAATTAAAAATCAATTATTCAATTGGCTAAGGGAAAAAAAATATTCATAAACAATTTCAATGTGATTAATTTAGCTTCGTTATCAGGCTAAATTTTGAACCACTTCTTTGTTTTTTAGCTCAATGCCTCTCTTTGGCTCTGCAGAGGAACTTCTGTTAGACTTAACTAATTTTTTTCTATGTATACTGATGAGGAGCTGCCGTGGTCTGTCAATGTGTATAAGACTATATACTGAACTATTAAGCGTTGGAATTTTATCTCATCCTCCATGTGCTGCAGAGGGAAATTGTCTGTTACGCCGGTTACCTCCCTCCAGCACAGATTTCAATATCAGTTTCAGCTTACTACATCGACAAATTCTTATCATTCATTCTTCAGTTGTATTTGTTTTAATTTATGGAACTACTCACATCTATGATATATGTAAAAGCAGTTAGCATGTTAAAGATTAAAGCTTAGAAACTAATGTATTTGTTCTATAAAGGTACAGTTTGCGAAATACTTAAAAAGTAAGATTTATTCATATGGGCTGCAGCAGAAAGCCTCTTATTTGAATAAAGAAAATGGCAGCTTGGCGTACGGTTACAGATAGTGTTTCAAAAATCACAGAAACCAAATACAGACACCTCATTAGCTGTCAGCTCAGCGGGGGAGGGATCAGGACCTGGGAGTTCACCATGAACTCCTCTGGATATCAAAGAGTTCACAGTCAAATGGGAGGCCATCTGTCCCACAGCTAAAGCTGGACTCAAACTTCTCACCAGCAGGACAAAGCAGCAGATCTACAGCAGAAAGTATGAAAAAGAGAAGAATCAAGGTGCTGCATGTTCCATGAGAGTCCCGAGCACACTATTGTACAGTGTGGCGTGTCACATCTTGTAGGTTATTTGACTCTGAATTCACATTATTATATATAGCTCTGAAGGTATCAAATCTGTTGGCAGAAACGGAAATATAGTTATTGTTTT